TGAACCATCTCCGTTTGAATTGTTTAGGTTGAATGTCAGCTGTTCACTATAAATTCTGGCGTTCAATATTTGAGGCCATTCTCTTCCCCTTATCAACAGACTCCTGTCCCAGCCTTTCAAACCGATCCACGTTCTTATTGACGAAGACATGCTTTCGTTCTTGCTGCATTTGTCGCGATGACAGTACCAACACTGATCATGACTGTAGTACAGCGAGTATCACTGGAGTTACGCCACAAACACACGCCTGGAGATACCATCATTACGTTGCGTCCACAATGCTTCCTGAACATCCCCTCCTCCAATTACACCAATCACTCTCATTCTTATTCATCCTTTGATTTCATCTAAATGCTTTCCACATACATCGTTTCTTTCCATGGATTGATTATCACTTTTTTCCTTGTTACGTTCAAATCCGCCTTCCATTTGAATACCGCAGTCACGTGGGAGGTGTTGCTTTGTCTCCTACTCTCCCACCCGCTTTTAGTTCGTATTCAACGGAAGATTATTCGGTTGGTTGATGATTCCCTCCAAAATTCCGATTTTCAGTCAACCACGCATCGAAGCACAGATGCTTTGATATGCATTTAGTCCGGCAAACGCCTGGTAATTTTTCTCCAAAGTTTATTTCGACAAATTATCTTCCTACGTCTGTGACCGTCCATCCGGTACATAGGCATCTAGTTGTTCTTATCAGACTTCGGTCACTAGATATCGTTTATCTAGTCGTCTTTTTACCTCGAACTGTCAAGCTGATGAAGACCCTCCGATTCCGTTTTTCCCCAAAACTACAACCTTACACTGTGACTACGGTTGGCACCTGTCGCCCCACACCCGCCTTTGGCGTCACTTCGCTATCCCACTTCGGNTCGCTGTCCATTCTTTTCTCGTAATCAGTTATCTCTTGCTCCTCCTGCTATCGCCCGCTTTGTTTGCTTAACCACGCCAGACACCATCCTGGTGTCGTCTACTCTGTTACCGTGAGTACCGTTGGCACCTGTCGCCCCACACCCGCCTTTGGCGTCACTTCGCTATCCCACTTCGGTGATTGGTCCTCACCGCCCTTTAAATAGCACTGTCGCTATATCCACATCCCATTCCTCCTCTCCGATTCCCAAGAGAGTGTCTTCCTCGCATGTTTACCTTTGTCGTGTCGGATCGATTGTTTTGTCCAGACCGGGTTGCCTCTGATTTGAGTACTGTACCAGATTGGCCTCTTATGGTAGAGTGGTTCGCAAATACCGAACCCCTAATCTGCGACAGAACTCAAGGCTGGGATATCTACGTCATGGTTTGCCCACCACAAGAAACGAAACACGTTTCGGTCTGATTCAGGAATGCGGACTTGTATGAACATTTCTTCTATATCCGCCGACCGCCACTGAACTCCATCGGAAGCGTGATAGTGCACCCACGAGGTTAGCAGTGAGATCAGGTCCCTGGTGTAGCCGATCGTTAAGGGGTATACCAATGTTAGGAACCTCGGGAAACATACTGGCACACAATTCTTCAATAAACTTCGCGACACAGTGCACTGGTGGACCAACTACGTTATATGTACGATACAGAATTCAACGACGGCGTGACGACGGAAAAAGGGCAATCACTAGATGATCGTACAGTACTGGATCTGGTCAGCGCAACTACGCTCACTACGAATGGACATCTAGAGGTACCAATGCCGTGGAAATTCAGCACACTTGAATTACCAAACAATTATACCATGGAAGATAAAAGGCTCTTAAATTTGAAGAGACAGTGGCCGCTTTGAGTTTAGTTGTACGCCGGCAAGAATGGAAACCTGTTGCTATCTATCTCATCATCCTGTAATGAACCCATCGAAACCAGGTAAGGGTCGGATAGTTTTTGACTGTGCCGCAAAGCTCAACGGTATGTTTCTTAACGATCGGCTACACCAGGGACCTGATCTCACTGCTAACCTCGTGGGTGCACTATCACGCTTCCGATGGAGTTCAGTGGCGGTCGGCGG